AGACCAATATTTTAATAGAAAATATAATTTCAATATTTTAGTAGAAAATCAGCTGAGGGCCAGATTAAAGGTCTTGGAGGGCCGGATGCAGCCCCCGAGCCGAATGTTTGCCACCCCTGCTTTAGTGGATAACAGTGATGTAGAAGTTTGTAGCAGATTTCCCTTTGCTTGTTGGTGATGAGATATTTGTGAGGTCATGTCCAGACATTTTTCCATGGAATATTGTCAGTAGAGTCCGGCTGCACGAGTAGGGCTCCGTTTGGGAGCTGCACTTGTGTCGATAGTCGCTCTTTTTCCGCGACGACTCATTATAAGGTGAATTTAACTGAAGATGAAGCCAAGTATGTTCCTTTTGAAAAGTTTTTCAAAGTTTCGTGCTGCGTCTTCACTCACGTCTGCTCAAGCCGACATGTTCGGGTGCTGTTCCTGTCCTGCCGCTTCCCCAGTTTAGGCTCCTGGCTCCACTAATGACATCACTCTGTTGCAGCCAGTGAAACAGCGGCAGGAGTAACCCTGTCATCATGTCACTGAATACATCTCAGAACGTCTAATGAACAAAATGTGAACTAAAATGTGTTCAATTACGGTATTTTCTGGGATATAGGGCGCACTCTTAAGCCTCCAACCCCATCAAAAAACGACTGCGCCCCCCGCAATCCAGAGCGCCCTATACACGAATCCACTCGGGTGTCCCAGCACGACTTCAGTAAACTACGAAGCCACACCACGCACAGTGAAAAACACCTACAGCCACACTCATCACTCCTAGAGGACGAGGAACAGAACAGAGGAACGAACCGAAAAAGCGAGTGCAATGTGCCTGCTTCTAGACACAACTGAACAACTGAGTCACTGCGAACACGCCGACAATCCGTTGGTCCCAGACAGCACCCTCCCTACATGGCCACAACTGAACAAAGCCCAGAGTCACCGTGAACACGACAAACAAAGTCCCACTGACCCATCGAACTGTTGTGTTTCGTTTAAAGCCCGGTGCGGTTTATTTGTGAAAAAAGTTTGAAAATAGACCATTTAATGACAGTGGGTCTTATAATCCAGAGCGACTAATAGTGCGGAAAATATGGTAATACTATTGAATTTGGAAAAATATCGGAATAAATTTATATTTTTGTTTATTAAAATAAAATGGCAAATATTGGTAGGGACTATTTTGTCTTCCACAAGTATTGGTTGTGACACGTCCCCACCGTCCCTGTGCAAACCTACGCCCTTGATATCGTCACTTTAATACTCTTTCCAATTTAGAAATAAAGACCCTTCTGACTCTACTTCAGGTAAACTACCAGTCAAAAGTTTGGACACACGATTTGATTTATGTCTCTTCTTTATTTCCATGATTATTTCCATTGTAGTTTCTCACTGAAGGTTTCAAAACTCTGAATGGACTCATATGGGATGTATAAACAAATAAAACTCAAAATAACTCAAAACACCCTTTGCTTTGAACCCTAGTTTGCACTTTTGGCAACCCGGCAAACTGTATTCAGGAGTACTTCTACCAAAACAGAAAACACTCTGTTCCACCTTGTGATGTCACGTGGTAATTATGGGTGTGCAAAAGTATCAAAATATCAATATATCGTATCGTTTAATGTGACGATACAGTATCAATATCATGGGCTGCTGTATTGATATATCATCAAGAGTATTTTTTGGTATATTTTACTGAATTATTTTGTTACAGAACTACAGTTTTGTTGCTTGTTTAGAGGAAGGAAACTTGTTTATGCGACACATTTAACATCCCTGATGAAACCGACCCGACAGTTTCATCAGGGCTCCCGCTATAGTCGCAGAAGCCGGTGGGAGTCACAGGCACCACACAAGTTCTGACGAAGTGATCTGGTTTGTAATGAAATGCTGTCTTTAAAAAGTCCAGTTGTTTTCGTTTATCTCACTGATAATGTTTCGGTGAGTTATTTCTCGTTTTTTCTTGAGTGCAGAATTCATAGATTTGATGTCGTCATTCTGTATCTGGACTGTAGATCAGGCATGTCCACACTATGGTCCGTGGGCGAAATGCGGCTCTTAGAGAATTTTTTCTTGGCCCTCAGACTTCTAGGTGAATTGGCCCAAATTACCTTGCATCAGTTAAACATTTACTTTTTACTGCAGGTTTTTTGAAAATCCACCTTGATAAAGCGAACACTTAATATTTAGTGTGTAGTTTTTAAGGATCTTGGATGAATAAAAACTGATGGCTCATTCTAACGTGTTAAACATGCACATATTTCAATTATTCACTGTACTGAGCTTCAGTCTACGGCCCTCGATCAGTCCTCTGCTTCATCTGTGTTTAGATACGTGGCCCTTGATTAAAAAAGTTTGGACACCCGCGCTGTAGACAGTAGTAAACATAAAGAAAAACAACAGTGAAGGAGCGGACGTGTACAAACGTGACAGGTGCTGTATGGTTGTGTAGATACTTGTATGTTTTTTCTGTGGAGGACAGAACTTGAATGAACTCGCTGGTCCAGTC